ACACACACACACACACACACACACAAGAACTTGTTTGATTGGTCAGAAGTACATGGAAGTGTTTGTTTATGCAGAAAGCTGTCAGACGCTGCATTTAGCTTCAACCATTCACTTCAAAAAACTACTTGTTTCCAGAAGCTGACTGTTGTAGGCCACCAGGAAGCAGACATTTATAAAGATAGTCAAACAATCAAAAACTCAGGAATGGAGATTAAACTGACATTGTGCACAGAAGAATCTGTCTTATAAAAACCGTGAAGCTTTAACTGGGACAGGTTTGTGAAAAAAAAAATAACAGCAGGTGACTTGTCTCAGAATTTTAAAAGTAAACATTTCTGCATTGTAGACTCCAGCGGAAASAAACTCTGTGCAGTGTTGTATACCGCAGCGGATGGGGTTCCCTGGAGCTCAGCACAGGGTCTCARAGGCTATGAAAGGTGTGTGCAAAAATGAATGCTRAACAACCATGTGACTGTGCGTCGTGTGCTGATTGACCATATTTAGCCAGTAGCTCACTCTGCTGGAGAAGGAGGTCACTGCAGTCAATAACAGAGAGGTACCTGAATGTGGGAGGGCTTTGTAAAAGACATGAYTGACCTTTGACTTTCAAAATGAGCTTTAAGCCCAGCCAGACGTGACTGAACAATGTCAAAAGCAGATTGCAGAAGTTTAAACAATTGTAAAACTGATAAAGATGAGGTATAAATAACCATACCATCAACATAAAGATGGGATTCGGCATCAGGTACGTTATCACACAGGCTGTGCGTGATGACTGATAAATTTTGAACAACGAAGGCACTAGTAAGGAAACTTGAGGTACTCCCTTTAAAACAGGAAGAAGGAACAAGACCCATCAGCTTGGACACACTGAGCCTGGAGAATCTAAAATTGTTTTCCACAATWAATTTTTCCAAAATTTTGGAAAGTGCAAATAATTTTGAAATCTGTCTGTAGTTGTTGACTACAGACAGATTTCCACCTTTCCACAAAGGAAGAACATAAGCAGACTTCCATATACAGGGGATCTTATTTTCAGAAAAAAGTTTGGTTAAAGATAGCCTGGTAAAAACCAGCTTCTTGTTCTTCGCTTTGCTTCGTACAGAGGGTCTGGAACCTCRGCTATTGAGAAGCAATGACTTGCTGGAGGTGTGGAATCTGTTGAAGTTTAAAACGATTGGATCTRATTTACCCAATCGCTAATGTTTGGCCGTGATGTATGTAGTGCACCAGCTTGACCATGAAGGAGACTAAGCTAAGAAGCTAACCGGAATTGCGTGCACTGTAAACAACCAYCCCCTACTGACAGGAGAGAAGTACAGACCCAAACAAGATGGCTGTAAACGATGCAAATTTAATTTAATTTGGAAGCCTTGTCAACATGGACTGTGCAACTATCRAAAGAATTTCCTTCAATCACTGAAAATAATTTATTTACATTTTAAACAGTTTCTAATCTGGGTCCTAAAGGGTTAATGCTCCTGTTTGTTTGTGTGAGAGACACAGCAGAGGAGTGAGCTGGAGAGAGGGAAATCAGCTGGTTTTTGAGTCCATGACTTGTGGACTAACAGGAGCTCCTGCTGCCTGGAGTTATGGTGTTTTGAGTTCACAAAGGACTCTGGTTACATTTTTTAATACATTAGCTCATAGCTGCGATGCCGATTAACACTGCTGAACATGAACGGACCTGCAAACACTTGCTCGCAGCACTCGACTTGATCTTGCGTTATTTAAATTAACATGACTACAACCTGTGAAATTCTTRGATTGGCAGGCGGCTGAAAAATGGTAGGGGAAACACCAGGAGACGAGATGTGTTACCGAGTGAAGGCGCAGCCGATACGCAGATCCAGCTCCTGACGAGCATCAACTGCCAAGGCTTCATTCCGGTTCGGTTTTCCCAGGCAGTTCATAGCATTCCAGATGTCAGTGTCTGTTATGGAACTAAATTTGGCACGCAGCACAGTCTGATCCATGACAATTGCTTTATTCATTACTGGTTGGATGACATCCAGAACCTGGGAATCAAAACAAAAAGAACCAATGATTTGATAGTTAATATTCATGAAAATAAAACAATCAAGATAAATTATGTTTTTATTGTTCCTGTGTTAAACAATTGTTGCCTTAAACTACATTAAAATAATATTTAATATTACTTAAATTTAAACACAGATTACTAATGAATATTCTGTGTAAATAGGGGCTTTAGTTACCTCAAAACAGATGTTCTCCCCTTCTTTATCACAGTCCAACCATAAAACAACATAGTCACAGCCTTTGGCTTCAACCTGACAAAAACATGAGAAACATGGGGTGAAAAACACACAGAATGAAACTAAGATGGAATGACAGCAGTCATAAGACATATAGTAAGAACTAATACCTTGTGAAGACCGGTCAACTTACTTGGAGAAACTTCACCATGTTAAGTTTAGGATTGGCCTCCTTCTTTTCTGTTGGAGCTTTACCAAAGAGTTCTGCAGGGTCCACCTTGTCCCAGTTGTTGTATTTCCCTGGAAAAGGAGGACAAAACAGTCAGGAAGACTGAAATTACAACTGTTAGATTAGAATGAGACAAATACATTACATTCTGATGCGTGTATGTGACTATTGTGCCTCTACATATTTTCTTTAAAGATAAATTTAAAACATAATATAAACACTTCACTAAAATCAAACCTGCTGCTGTTGCTTTGCTATGACCAGAAATGATTACTACTAGTTATTCAATTCTAACAATATGATGAATTCTTGCATCACCGGTTCTTTGTCCTAAATTGATTTCTGACTCAGTTTTACAACAGAAAATCTCCCTATTCTAAAGCTACTTATTTGCTCATAGATTATGCACTGACAGATGATTGTTTATATA